GGTGGCGGTGGCTGGGAATTTTCGAGCTGTAGGGGAGAAACAAATGAGCAGAAACACGAAATGGTTGAAGAAGAAGAAAGAAGAAAAAGAAAAGTAGCCGACCCTTCTAGATTTTCCTCCTATAAGTCCCTGAACTTTGAAATCTTTGGCTATTAAGTCCCAAAACCATATTTCCTCTCACAAAGGTCCTCACTTAATGCTAAAATATCACAAAATTTTGTGGTATAACATCCACCCCTTAAAAAGAAGTTTTGTCCCCAAAACTCAAATTGAGGACCATTTAAACTGGTGAATGGCTTCACACAATCTGAGACAAAACAAATGCCTCACTAACTTTCTATGAACAAAACATGGCCTACTACACTTCCACTGCGCCACTCTGATATCAAACCACAACTACGCATAAAAGTAAAACATTAACTACTTAACAGGATTTACCATGAAACAAGCTACTAGAGGCTAAGGTGATATGGGGAAGCACAAGGAATAAAAATAAATCCTGCCAAAGCCATAAAAGAAAAGTTGTGGGGTTACGTTATGAACCCAACACAAGACGAGTTGGCAAAGAATGGCATGGATTTAAAGACAAGTACAACAAAACTTTGAACTCTATCAAAGACGGATAAGCATCCAATGGATATATGGATCATGAATGAATGAACGAGTGCATGGATGCCTTACAAATTTTGCCACAACAAGGTTAACCAATAAGTAAGATCATGTTTAACAAAACAACTGGAATCAAGAAACAAATTTTAGCAATTAACAAGAGTTAAAAGCTAGACCCATCAAATGACGTGTGAAATTTCCAAAATAGCATTAGAATGAAATTAGTGGAAAATATGGAGGCTTGGAAGAATACTGGAACATAAGAGTGCAAGGTAGAATGCCTCAAAAAATTCAACAACAAAACGACATTCACCAAGAATCAAGATCAAATTTAACCAAGCAGTCAAAATTGAGAGACAAGAGTTAACCATGAAACAAGCAATGAAATTCAAGAATTAGGCTCACAAAAGAGATTTCAATAATGACAACCAGAACACGGATTCAAGAGTAGATATAACCAGGATGTCAAGATCTAACACCCCAAGTAACACGAATTAATTAATTAACAAAATAATCAATAGTGGGGATCAAGATACTTAGAAGATTATTGTCTTCTAATTAAAAGGGCAAACAAAAATCAAAGCAGCCAGATAAAAGAACCATTTCTCTTGGAACAAAACTCTAGGGCATCAGGTACTTCAAAGACTACCCCTTCACCTCGTAGCCCATGGAGGCTAAGCAGATTTACACTCAAGTCATCCTAGACATCCTAGAGTCAAGTCAAAGCTAAGACATCAATGATACAGAGATTAACACTTGCAAGAGACAAGAATTTAAGATGCCTCATATAGGTATTTTCTAATAATCATCACCCCTCCTAAAGAGGTGTCCACATGAACAAAAATCAAAAATCAAGAAGATCAACAGGTATACTAAAATAAGAACTAGCAGAATATGCAGGATTTGGGCAAGAGCAGTATACAGAATCTGAACAAGAGCAAGAGTCAGGACAAAAATGGTTTTCAATGACAATTCAAAATAGATTTCAAAAACCAAATATCAATTGATTTTCAAGAAAAGGATGCTAACATGACTTTACTCTAGGCAAGGTTCAAGATAAGATTCCAAGAGAAATGTAAGAATTAATTTCAACAAGAATCAAGATAATGAGGATTTCAATAATCATTATCCATTTCCTTTGGATTTCAGTTTCAAGAACAAGTACAAAGCAATCTCAAGAAAGATTTAAGATGGATTTCAAAAGTTTCCAGCAGTTTCCAAGTATCAAGAATGTAAAGATTGACAACAATAGAGAGTTTAACTTTATGACAGCTTGCCAATCTTCACAAAAACACAGTAATTTCAATTGAATTGATCACTATTTTTGAGTAACCAATATAGAAAAAATGAGCCACATGAAAAGACCATGAAACTCCAATTGGAAAAAGTGAAATTTCACTATAAGACTTTCAAAAAGATAATGAGCAACGAAATTACCATGTTATCCAGCTCCTAAAACGTATCTAGAAAACACACAACATTTGCTAAAATAGCCTTGAATCTCTTACATAGTAGAGGGTTGCCCATCTTCCACCGGTCACGTGACAAACAGAACAAATTTCTCAACCAGCTATGCTGTAGAGATCAATAGGATCAATAACAAAATATCTCTGCAACTCCCTAAATTTTACAATTGTGGCAAAAGAGCATACAAAAATTCTATTCAAGTAACAAGTCTAAACAAGTGCAAACTATCAGAAAATGACCAAGTTTCAAAACAAGGTCTTAAGAACATGGTGGACAAGATTAATTTCATGAATCTACACAGGGCATGAAGGCGAGAAACAAGAACAATAAGATTACCATCTCATCAAATGGATTAGAAAATTCAGGCAACATGAATCAGAATCATCCCTTATATAACCCCATCATTCGTCTCACCACGGTTCTAAAATCCATTGGCTAGCCAAGTCCAAAACAAATCCTAGGTATTCAATTAAACCTAGGTATTCAATTAAACCTAAGCTCGATACCACTCAATCTGCTTTGATGCCACTCAATCTGGAAGTGCTTAATTTAATCCAAAGCTCTTAATTTAAACCTAAGCTCTGATACCACTCAATCTGTCACGCCCCAAAACCCGAATTCAAGGCGCGACAGACGCCGTGCACTCGTGAGTGGGTCCCACAAATGCACAAGGCTTGGAACTTATCCAATTCACATCTGATACTACAAAATCTAAAGATAAAATTATAAAATTAGCTCTCATATCATAAAATCTCCAAATACACTCTAGCTTACAAGATCATGATTTATATCTAAAATTTCATATCCAATTACAATATAGCTAGCCTTCTAACTCGTCACTTCCCGTGGTTTCCCCGTCCTCGGTTTCACTTCTTGAAATGGTGGACAAGGAAAAACTATGAGATAAACTCAGTAAGTAAAATATGGAATGCCCCTTATTAAACTTATAGCATGCCAACAAGTATAATCATGAAAAACGGATATAGTACGGGAACGAAATAGACATCTCCTCTATAGGTCACGACCAGTGTTATAAACCTCCCACTGACAGGCGGACGATTTACTAGTATATAATCCCACTGGCAGGATAACAGAAACGAATCGGTTCTATCAGTAACATGTCGCCATGGGCTAGCGTTTATAAACCTCCCACTAGCGGGCACAATAATAACATGACCATATTGAAGACAAAACAGGCAGAAGTTAACAGAAAAATCATACTTCACCAATCATTTTCAAATCATCAAGACAATCAATTAAATTTCAAGTAGGCATGCTCAATTTAATGAAAAGCATAAACATTTCACTTCAAATCAGTCATACTCATATTTGTGTAAAACGGGTTTAGTCTCGCCACCACTTCAAAAACAAATCAAAACATACTTTTAAAAACTGTACGGGCATTACCATGAATTTACTTACCTCACTCGCATAAAACCAAAAACTCGATCTCAGTGCTAAACTGACAAAACGATAAGGAACCTAATCAAAATATTCAAAGATTAATTCTATACTATCACAAATTCAAAGTGAAACTTCATTAAGATCACTCCTAATCACGATGCTATTTCTATCAATTTTCACATGATCCAACATCTCCAAATTTATTTTTATATTACAAACTAATCATTTAAATCCCCGTTAATTGTTGTCCATTAGTGTGTGAACAGTGCCGTGAACAGTGCCATGAACAGTGACTACACTTCTAAAATTGGCCAAAACACTAGCTAATTCACGGGATTTTCTCTCCAAAAATCACAGGAACCAACTCAAGCAATTTACACATGAATTAAGCTTAATTATGCTTTAATTACTACCCAAATTCATCCCCATTTTTCAACAAATTCGGACAGCACATGGGGCAGGAATTAAATGGACAAATTCAGCAATAATCGATGAAATTTCGGGCTTGGAGGAGCTGTCAACATACCAGAATTTAACAATCAAAACCGGAGCTGGCAAGGAGAAGAAGCCGGCGGCAATCTGGAGGGGCAATCACGCAACTACCCAAAATTGAAAGAAATCAAAAGAGTTTAGAGTGAACCCAAGCCAATTCAAAGCTAAAAAGAT